AGCAATTTTCTGAATAAAAAAAAAAATCGAGTGACCTAATATACAGAGAAGACAGTTTTCCCAGGATAGAAAAGAGTTGCAAAAAAATCAACTAAATCTAATATACTTTCACCAAAGCCACAGTAAAGCTGGTAATTTTACATAACTGCTTTAAAACTAAAAAAGAACAAGAACTATCAAAGCTTGCGATACAGCACTTCTATAAAGGTAGAAGAGGCAATATATATATATATATATATATATATATATATATATATATAAAATAATTATAATATATATATAAATATATATATATATATATATATATATATATATATATATATATAATTATATTTGTAGTCCCAGGTTGGACCCAAACAGTGCTAACACCTGAGATTTCTGCCCTGAATCTGTTTATGTGCAGGACTAAGGACCAAGAGAACTTCTGGGAGAACCTCATTTTAGAAGAGAGAATTCAGCACTTGGGTTTGGTTCAAAAACAGTGCTTTAGTGTTTCAGTATATGGTACTCAAAATTTGTCCTCAAGTCTAGCCCCTGGGCTGGGATGAGAATTTCAAATTTTAAAACATTCAAAAGAGCAACTTTCACTAAGAAACTGCAGGGAAACACCCGTTTTGAGATCTGCGTCACAAAGTGCAACACATGGTGGACAGGATCTACTTTCTCCTTCCGTCTATACCCTACACCTTGTAACTTTGACTTACTGAAGTTTCCAAGACTGTTTCACTCCTTTGCTCCATTGGAGGCTCTCAGGTAGGAGGGGCGCCTACATCTCACATGGGGCAGCAGTGAAGATCATCAGCACCAAATGATGCTGGAGAAAAAAAGGAAGAAAGTGGCAGATGTCACGAGGTAAATGATGCATAGGTGCACCCCATAGGGCACCCTAGACATAACTGGAGACTATTTTGCAGGTAGCAGCAGGACTTTCAATAGTAAGTGAGATTAAGAATCAGATAAATAGGGTTTATTCCTGCTCATCTCACCTCATTGTCTTCTCCCTGTGTTATGCTCCATAAACATAGTTTACTCGAACATTAGATCCTAATTCATTTCAAGAATATGTTGAATTATTCTTTAAATAGAAATAAAAGTGCTCACTTATCTGAAATTTGGTAACACAGTCAACAACTTCTTTCCCATCATGGTATTTGAGGTGGAACACTGAGATTTGATACTGCGGTGATCCCACAGCATAATTCTCAGATGGAAAATGCATGGGGAAATACGAATTGAAGGGAGTAGGGCTGGTTCACCAGGGAAGACGCTTTGCCTCGTTCTCCTGAGAACCAGTGACACTGAACAAAAAGATTCCTGCTACTTTTGGAAATTAGATAAAAAGTAAATCGAACTTTAGTCCAGAGGGCATCCCTGTAGGATGCCTGGTCAGAAACTTTGGGGCTGGATTCCTTTTCTTACTTAAAGATTTTTGCAAAAGCTTTTCTGCTTGCAAAAGAGATTCTGAAAAAGATCTCATTTTAGAATATCTGTATGAAAATGCTTAGAATGGACTGTCACATCCCTTATTAGAACAAAGTTGACTGGAGATGGAAAACCATGTATTCCATTGAACCTTTAATGGGCTTCACAAATAATTCAAAGTAGAACCCAACAAAGCTATTTGATCAAGACATATTTTGAGTTTTTTGGAATTGGGAAACCTCTTCTTGTTTTGCAACAGAAGATCTTTTCTTCTTCTCCTCAACCCACCTTGTGTTCTGTAACCAGATTGATTTTTCTATGCATCACTTTTATATTTTTCTCCTGCTTAAAACCTCATAAAATCAACTCCATAGGAAATGACAAGGAGGGGTGACAGAGCAGCGAATTCATAGAGTAACCACTGTATCTAAAATGTATTGCACACTGTGTGCCAGGTGCTGTTCTAAACATTATGTAGGCATTAACCCATTTAATGCTCAAATAATCCCTATGAGACAAATGCTGTTGTTGTTGTTGTTTTTTTTACCCCATTTTCAAGAAGAGCTTAAAGAACGTGCTCAAGATTGCACAGGTGGCATTTCAACCCAGGCAGGTGGATTCTAGGACCCTCTCACTCTTAACTTCTGCATCTACATTTCAGAACTCAAAAAGCCCTCAAGGGTACAAAAAATATATATTTTCAGCTCATGTTGTGCTTGAGCCCTGAAACGTCAGAAGGGAGGGGAATGTTCTTCAGCTTAATGATGGCATTCAAAGCTTTCCACAATCTTACCAGAACTCTTTCCCATCTTATTCAGGGTCCAATCTCAATTCCTCCAATCTAGCCAAATGTTCTTACTGGTTCAAAGTTTCATTCTTCCAGAGTGTCTCATTCTTTCCATCTTTCCTAATCTTAATCATCACTTAAGGCTCACATAAAATTCTGCCTCATCCAGACAAGTATGCCTTCTCTGTCCTTTGGGAGGGCCCCTTAGTACTCCACAACTGCTGGAATCCACACCAGCAGTTTGACATCATCACTCACGCTTTGCGGGTTTCTCCTGTGTGTTTTTTCTCACCTCCATTCTTACTTTTACTTTCATACAAAGCAATCTCTAAAGACAGTATTCATTTCAGAAACACTTTATGTCTGTGTAAGCAAAACAACCATTGTGGCACAACATAGGTGGTCGCCTTTGCTTACATAGGGCAGAGGCCCTCAACCTTTTTGGCACCAGGGACTGGCTTTGTGGAAGACAATTTTTCCATGGACCGGTGGTGGAGGGGAGAGGAAACTGCCCTCAGACCACCAGGCATTGGTTAGATTCTCATAAGTGGCCTGCGCAACTGAGATCTCCCATGTGCAGTTCAGAAGAGGGTTCACCTCCTATGAGAATCTAATGCATCTGATTTGACAGGAGCTCAGGCGGTCATGATCCTTCACCCTCCACTCACCTCCTGCTGTGCAGCCTGGTTCCTAATAGGCCACGGACTGGTGCCGGTCCACAGCCAGGGGTTGGGGACCCCTGATGTAGAGACATCCTTGGCTTGATGGAATAAAGGGAAACAAAAATAAACACAAGCACTGAAACTGGCTCTTCTCTAATTGCCAGGAGCAATTGTCTTGGGGTTGGAAAGATACACAGGAAATGTGTCTTCTTGATTAAATTCTCTTTGTTTCCTCTAGTGATTTTTCACACACATTTCAAATTTACTGGTGATTTCATTAGAAATTTAAAAATATATATTTCAAGTTAATTTTCTCCCTATATCAACAATAAATATCTCTTTTCTATGCTAGACAAAATATCTGTGCTTGGCCACTATTTCTTTTCTTCTTGATATCATCACTTTTCAGAAGGTATTGAACTGAAATGTGGAATTTTATCTCAATTCTTTTGTCACGGTATGCACCTTATTTCAAGAATTCTTTAACATTGGCACTAAACACAGTGTGCATAATCAAATGAACAATTCAGATAATTTATTATTCAAAATACCTGTGTTTGGACCTTGTGCAGTGGCTCACGCCTGTAATCCCACCACTTTGGGAGGCTAAGGCAGGTAGATTACTTGAGGCCAGAAGTTCAACACCAGCCTGGCCAACACAGTGAAACACTGTGTCTACTAAAACCACACACACACACAAAAAAAGCTGGGCATGGTGGTAGGTACCTGTAGTTTCAGCTACTTGGGAGGCTGAGGCAAGAGAATCACTTGAACCCAGGAGGCAGAGACTGCAGTGAGCTGAGTTTGTGCTACTGCTTCTGTACTTCAGCCTCGGCCATAGAGAGAAACTTTGTCAAAAAACAAAAAAACAAAAAACTGAACTGCACATGGGAGATCTCAGTTGCACAGGCCACTTATGAGAATCTAACCAATGCCTGGTGGTCTGAGGGCAGTTTCGTCTCCCCTCCACAACCGAAGGGGAGGGGAGAGGAGGGGAAGGAAGGGAACTCTGTATTTGGAGAATACAGTGATAACTATTTTTTTTTTTCAGACAGAATACTGGGCTGAGCACGGTGGCTCTCACCTATAATCCCAGTACTTTGGGAAGCCGAGGTAGACAGATCGCTTGAGGTCAGGAGTTTGAGATCAGTTTGGCCAACATGGCGAAACCCTGTACAAAAATTAGCTGGATGTGGTGGCACACGCCTGTAATCCCAGCTACTCAGGAGGCTGAGGCAGGAGAAACACTTGAACTCAGGAGGTAAATGTTGTGGTAAGCTGAGATTGTGCCACTGCACTCCATTGTGGGCAACAGAGTGAGACTCCACCTAAAAAAAAAAAAAAAAAAGAAAAGAAAAGAAAAAAGAAATAGTAGATGGTATACTTTCTGAGTCCAATATGTACTACTGTGGAACATAAAACTAACGATGACTAGTTTTGATACTTATATCACCATCCCATGAAGAGAAAGTTTCAAGTGAAGGGGTCACACAGTGATCAACCCTTGAGTGTGGATTCAGGAAACGGGCATAGGAGTGATCAATGCTCGCACATCTGGCTCTTTTTAAATGGTATTGCCTAGCAAGAGAGGAAGAGGGTGTGGGAAATGTAAGGGGAGGTACAGGTCAGAGAGATCCTTTTCACCAAAGACTGGTTCCCTTCAGTGGCTTCCAGTGAAAAAAGGGAGAAGATTCCATTATTTTTGTGGGCCCTTATGAAGTGCTTTGTTTTTAAAATTTATTTCCCAGTTTTGATCTGCAGAAAGCCTGCCATGTCCATTTTAGGCTGGGAAGGGCACTGGACAACAGGTGACAAGCCCTGTTTTCCTTGAGTTTAGGAAGAGTTCAGCCAGAACCTCCATAAAGGAAATCTACTGCTGCTAACTGCTTGAAATTAGATTAATCACTTACTGGTGTTCATGATTTTTTGTGTTTGTTTTTTAGCAGATTTATTGAAATTTGCAACCAAAACACAAATACAGTGCATACAAATTACAACAATAAAAATCATTTTCATCTTTTTTCTAAAACAAGTAATAAAATAGTAAATAGTTTTAATCTATGCAAAGATTTCAAATACAAATATTCAAATATTTATAGAAAGAAACTAATCAGGTTGTGTATAGTAGATGAAAAAGGTGAATAAAGAAATTGTAGGTATCTGGTCAGCAGTTGTCTTTCTGACCAGAAAGGCTGCCAAAGGTCCAAGCACGTTTTCTAAGAGACAAAACCAGGACACAAATCCTGCACTCTGCTTACCTTGTCACCAAAGGATCCTAGAATAAGCATGGCCCTGACAACAGGATTGAGAACAAATTGGTTTAGTTTATTACAGAATGGAAATAGGGGCATATTTTTAAAAGAATGATAGTCCGGTTTAGATGCTTTTTAAAATATAGTTTTGAACAATTATGTGTTTGTCATTCTTAAAACTGGAGAACTTACCTCTTAGAATGACTGATTTCCATTAACTCCCTCATACTTTTTCTCCCAGATTAAGGATTGATGATGAGCTCTGATTCAGTAGATGAAATCTCAAATGCATCTTACAATGTAAAGTGTATCTTAAAAGGTAAAACATACAGTAAAATGTAAAAATCTTAAAACATAAACCAAGAGAAATGGTTACATGAAATCATATTGAGTGATCTTGTGTGTAGCTAAAATTATTTAAGAACGTGCAGAACTCTTAGATAAGCATGTAGTGGGACACACTCCTTTGATGGGTATCATAAATGGTGATTCTTCTCTAGCTACCGACTAAGATGTACCAATCATTCCTACATTCCTGAATAACAGTGAAGTGTGGATCTCAATTAATCTTTGTCATATATTAGGCACAAAAACAAATGTACAGGGACAACAACTAGGTTGGCTTTATCATGCAAAATGAAAACCAACACTGTCAGCACTTTTTACAAGTCTGGCTACTAAGCAGACTTAATTACCAATCTTTTTTTCTGGTATCTATGGAATCAAACATGCTATGCTAATATTGGTGGATCCTTGTTTAGTTAAGCTACTTTTGGCAAAACTAGCAACACTGCAGTTTGTATGTAATCTGTTGGCATTTAACAATGCAGCTGTTGACGGAATTGAATTATTTTAACCATATATGGTACCAACAGTATTTGTACACTTTAAGCTCAATTGAGCTGTGTCTGAAATAGCACCTCCCTTTACTCTTTCTTATCTTTTTTTCTTATTGTGCTTTTTAGAAATTATATAATAATTTCATGATAAAACACAGTACTTCTTTTTTGTCTGCTTCCCTCATGAGAATGTGAGCTCGATGAGGGCAAGGACTTCCTCTTATTGTCTCTATCTGCAGTATCCATAGCTATGCTTGAAATGTAGTAGATGTTTTAAAAGTACTCACTGAATGAACAAACCTGTATAGGTTTGCCAAAATGAGTGGCCAACAGAAATTTTCAACAAGGTCTATCCACTGTAATTTTACCATAACTTTATACTAGGTAAGAACGAGTTCACAGAACCATTTGTTTACAGCAGATTTTAGAGACATAAAAAATGGACTGGAAATTTGGTGTTTTACTAAGAAGTCCTTGGTAAACTCTTTTTTTTTTCTCTCACTTTTTTTTGTTTTGTTTTGAGGCAGAGTCTTGCTCTATCACTCAGGCTGGAGTGCAGTGGCACAATCTCTGCTCACTGCATCTTCCGCCTCTTGGGTTCAGGCAATTCTCCTGCCTCAGCCACCCAAGTAGCTGGGATTAGAGGCATGTGCCACCACAGCCAGCTAATTTTTGTATTTTTAGTAGGGATAGGGTTTCACCCTGTTGGCCAGGCTGGTTTTGAACTCCTGACCTCAAGTGATCCACCCGCCTCGGCCTCCCAAAGTGCTGGGATTATAGGCGTGAGCCACCGCGCCCAGCTGGTCATTGGTAAACTCTTAATAGCATGTCTGCATTCTGTGACATCCTTATCTAGGAATGCTACTGAAGAGATTGTGGAATTATACTCACAAGACATAGGAAGCTAATGTGGAATGAGATCCAAGGGTCAGCATTAATATTATACTGCCTGCTTCAGTTCTGTCTGGCCCTCCCAGCACGGTTTAAAATGAAATTTAAAAGTCTTTAATGCTGTCCCTGTGTCTCTTTGTCTCTGCATGTGTCTCATACACATCAATTTACCCACCCACAGCAATTTATTTAGGCAAAAAGATAGAAAGGGCCATTTCCCTTTTCCCTTAATGCCCTGTAGCCTCAAAGTAGACTCTCACAGGTACAGACATGTTACTCCGCAGACCTATCCAGTGACGAGATATAAACCGTTCACTTTAGGCACTGGCTCAGCTGTGCTGGCCCTCCCTTCCCAACTGTGGAAGATCCAGTGCAGACCTGTTGAGCTTGGGAACTTCACTATGAAAAGATTCATGTGATTCATGATAGAGGCAACTTAAAGCACAGTAACTACAGTGTCGCCAGAAACCTGCCCTTTGTGTATATGTGTGTGTTGCATGACCTCCTCTTACATCTGTCCCTGAGAGCTTCGCATCGTCATGGTCATTCTACCTCCACTCCCGACTCTGTGCCATCAGAAAGGAGGCTGGCTTGCTTCCTCCTAAGACCCAAGGAAGAGGTGAGATGAGGGTGTCTCACTACATTTGACTCAACTTGATTTTATTAGATAGGCAAGGTTAGTAAATTAATATTCTTCTGGTTGAGTTTTTTGGGCAGTACAGAGTTATTTATGGAATCATGAGTACCTCTAGCATCTAAACCATAAATATACATTAGGATGGTAGTATGGCCATTGCATTTTTCCAGAGGGAGAAAAACTGTTTCAGAAGAAAATTCTTTGTTATGCACAGGCTGAACTCTGCTTCATCTGATTTATTCCAATTTCCAACATTAGACTAATACAATCTGAACTCTAAGAAAGTCACACACAAAGGTACTCACCACTAATGCATTCATTTGTGAAAAAAAAATGGCATACTAAGCTCAGGCTACATGCCAAAAAGATTCAGATTTTGTAATAATCTGTCATGGGCAATACACAACTCTATAGACAGTCACCAAATCTTGTTTATCAGGCCGTATCTTCTACAGCAGTGGTTCTCAGCACATTGATTTTGTCAATATCTATAGACATTTTGGTCAACACAACTGGAATGGAGGAGGGGCTGTGCTAATGAATCTAGAGGTCAGGGACATTGCTAAACATCCTCCAATGCACAGGGCAGTCTCCCACAAAAAGAAGTATACAGACCAAAAGGTAAACAGTGCTGAGGCTGAAGAACCCTGCTGTATACAGACAGATAGGAATCTGAAGCATGGAAATTCACATGATGTTTGGGAGCCTAGTAGCTAAGTGAAGCCAAACTAATTTTTTCTGTGGCTGTGAGTCTTGGACATATCACTGAAAACTTCAGTGTTTCAAACTGTGCTTAATAAAATGACTCTGTAGGATCAACAGTTGGGTATTATTCCTATGCCAGTTTACCAGTTACAGAATTAGGAGTGCCATTCCACTGCTGGGCTAGTAGGACAAATGTTTTGGTTGCACTACAAGGAAGAAGAAATCATGAAAGTTTCACCCAATCATAAAATGCCAAGTGACACCTGGGTTACGAATGTTAGAGGTTGTCACGGTGGCTCACGCCTGTAATCCCAGCATTTTAGAAGGCTGAGGTGTGTGGATCATTTGAGGTCAGGAGTTTGAGACCAGCCTGGCCAACATGGCAAAACCTCATCTCAACTAAAAATACAAAAAATTAGCCAGGTGTGATGGTAGGTGCCTGTAATCTCAGCTACTTGAGAGGCTGAGGCAGGTGAATCACTTGAACCTGGGAGACAGGCTGCAGTGAGCTGAGATCACACCATTGCACTCCAGTCTGGGCAATGAGAGTGAAACTCCGTCTCAAAAAAAAAAAAAAAAAAAAAGAATGTTAGAAAACCTGGGGATAGAAAACTCAGGGTTTTTTTTGAGGCATGGTTATTAGGTGGTTTGTAGGGATTAATCCTAAAAGGTTTGATGAGCAGCAAGGGTATTTGCAAATCTAGAGATTGTCCTCCTGATCCTGGAGGAGGAAAGGAGGATGTCAGAGAGAGATGGATCACATCTTGGGCAGAGGAGATGGATGTGCCTGGCTCCAGTCCCGCTTTGATCCTAGCAGTGTGATTCTAGGCAAGTCTCAAACCTTCTCCGTGAAATTAGGAGCTAGCCTATACCCTGTGGGATTCCTTCTAGCTCTAGCATTCTCCCCAAAGGTTTCCTCAACATCTGTGCTGGTACACAAGGATTAGAACAACTCTGAAACAGGATGCTAGTGAGGTATATTTATTAATTTGCAATAGTGTATGGTAAAGGAAATAAAGAACAAAAGAAACATATGCAGATTTGCATAAATGGGAAAACCTTTGCGAATCATTCGTTCAACACACATTCTACTGAGCATCCCCTCTGAATAACGCATAAAATGTTTTCTATTTGTTTTAAATGATCCTGAGAAACTCTTTTAAAGTTTATTTCCTAGGATTTATAGCAGTTAACATTCAGTTCCACCAATAAAATTCCTCATTGGATTCCACAGGACAGATGGGTCTCCATTAGCTAATAACCTTCCAGGTGGTGCTGACAAAGCACATATGTGAATACTCCTCTCAGCGGGAAACAGAGATGTAACTTCTATACTTGCCTCAACCTGCTACTAAGACTTTCTTCATAGTCCTGGATTTTCAAAGATCTAAAGTTAACTCTTCTCTTAGAGAATACATGCAAACAAGTAAACTTAAAACTTCAATGCAATGCTCTCAACCCACAGCTCTGGTTCTTGTCTTTGTAATCGATGCCTCCTGAGCAGACTGCCAGCCTTGGTGTGCTCCTGCTTCAGAGGTGTCTGTCGGGGGAGAAGAATGCCCAGCTCCAACAGTTACATCTTCAAAAAGGCCACCTGGAGAAGGAAGGAAAACCCATAATGCTTTACTTCTATAACATGACAAAAGGACTACATGCACATCAAATCAGAATCGGGTAAGTCTGGTCAATAAGAACACATGTCAATTTAAACAGAAAAATGACTCTTAGTGGAGCCTGACATTGCATTTTACAGCGGGAACCAATTACCCTTTCTTTTTTTTAAATGAACTATACAGTAATTAAGATGATTCACATACATTTTACAGAAAAATAGAGTTTTAATTGAAACTAAAGTTCTATTGCTGTGAAGTAATCCAGTCCTTATTCCCACTGGTTCACAACTATTGTTTTGGACCTTCCATATTTAGAATTCTGAGTCTCATTCCTATGCAATTCCAGGTCCTCATCATGATAGGTAATTATATCAGTCTCTCCCAGGTCACGGTGGTACTTTCACTTATATTGTGTTGGTCAGCAGCAATTCATCCTAAAACCTAGAGTTAAAAAAAAATTAATTCATACAGTCTTAGGTTCAAAATATTTTCAGACTATGTAATGAGGCCCAAATCAAATGCATCTAATTTATGAATGGTTTTGGAAACAGACACAAACATAACAAAGTCAATCATAAATGTTTAGAAAGGTTTAGTTGAGGGGTGACAATAAATTGGGAACTGTGCCAATATGAGGGAGAGAGTCAAGGATAGAGCAAAGATGGATCATGAAGTGTGGCAGGCTTGGGAAGCTTGTATGAGGCCTTTACTGGAGAGAAAGTGTGAGCAACAGAAGAAAAAACACTCTAAAGAAGTATGGGACATCTGTCAACAGCATCAGGAAAGTTTGTCCTTAAGTCCCGAATGCAATAAAAAGAGGTATGTATTTAACTATCTCTGCTAAAAGGAAAGGGAAAGTAAGGGTCACACAGGGCAGAAAGCATCTGCTTTATGCTGAGTAATTCGGGATGTTACCCTTCATACAGTGCTAGTGAGAAAGGCACCTGCTGAGTTTCCGTATCAACTTCCCGCTGAGTTTCTCTATCAAGAGAACACCAAATTGGAAAGAGCAGCAAAGAGGAAAGGTTAATTCCTAAACAAAATGTAAACGTGGACAACTAATGCAAACCTCAAGAGCTTACTGTGAAGCTCAAATGAAATCATTGTTAGTTCAAGCTGCACCATCTGTAACTCCCCCCACCATTTCACAGACCCCGGTTAAAGTAAAACATTCCATGAGGCTTTGGACCATGACAAACATCCTGCCCAACCACCTGACTTCTTATCATACCCTGGCAGGCAAAGACCCAACAGAAGGAACATCCCTATCATATCTTGCTGGACAAAGGTCCAAGGAACATCCTATGACATCCCATCGGAAAAAGGGCCAAACTACCTGATCACAGGAACATCTTATCAATATCCCGCTGGGAAGCAAGCCATACTGCTCAAACCCCTCCCTCCCACACCTGTAAGTACTCCAGCCTGTAAGCAGTGGTGGGCTCTAGCATTAAGCTGGTCCCCCACCTCTGCAGTTCTCATGCTGGACATAAAACCTGCATTGCTGTAGAGCTGCTAACTTTCTCTGTCTTTAACCCTCACCTTCCCTTCAAAACTTAACAGTAATTATTAGGAACATCCAAGTGTTTCCCCTGTCTCTGGGCTGACAGGAGATATTAGAAGCCTGTGAATATACCAGATGAGAAGAGAGGCCAGTAGAGCCTGTTACAGCAGACAGGGGAAGGAAGACCAGAGGCCATGGAGTCTGACTTAGGGCTCACTGTGGGCAGTATCCCTGGCAGGTGACATTTGGCTTCTACATAGACAGTTTATAGGGACAGGAAGCTCACAACTGTACAAAGACAATGCTGCTGCTTATATTCAAACAGGAAGACAATGGAAGAAAATCAGTTAACTCTTTTTTTTAAGTCAGAAAATTGCTACGTCATGGAGCATTCCAACCAGAAACCACTTAGCATAAGGATAACACTGATAAATTACATTACAAAAATGGTTAAGAGGCTGGGCACAGTGGCTCATGCCTGTAACCCCAGCACTTTGGGAGGTCAAGGCAGGCAGATGGCTCGAGTTCAGGAGTTTGAAAATAGTCTGCCAATATAGTGAAACCCTGTCTCTACTAAATACAAAAATTAGCCAGGCGTGGTGGCAGGTATCTGTAATCCCTGCTACTCGGGAGGCTGAGAATCACTTGAACCCATGTGGCAGAGATTGCAGTGGGTCGAGATTGCACTGCTGCAATCCAGCCTGGCTGACAGAGGGAGAGTCCATCTCAAAAATAAATAAATAAATTAAATTAAAAAATAAAATGTTTAAGAATTTTAGCTATACAGAACAGTGATTCTCAACTTGAGGTGATTTTGTGTACGGGGAGCATATGGCAGTATCTGGAGACATTTTCAATGGTCAATAATTACTGGAAGGGGGTGCTACTGGCATCCAGTGGACAGAGGCCGGGGTGTTCACCTACAATGTAGAGAGCCCCTAAGACAAAAAATTAGCAGCTAGCCCCTTTTGGCCTTTCCTCATCCACAAAATGGGAATTCTAACAGGATGGACATGAAATTTGTAAAACATTTTATTAAGCCTATTTTGTTTTTTTTCATCCACAGCACAGTCCTATGATTTAGTAAAGCAGGCATTTGAAACTTTGCTTTACATATGAAGAAACAAGCTCAGAAAATGTAAGAAATTTGCTCAGGTAGCAAAGCTGTTAAGTGACAATGGTGGGCTTAGAAAGAAATTGATTTCTAATCCACGCTTTTCCCACTATTACTTTACAGATGAATGACAGAAAACTATAGAGGCTTAGAGACTTCCAATCTTTGGTATTGCCTGAAATATCAAAAGATTTCTTTTGCATGCCTGTGAATATGAACTCAAGATGAGGAACAACTACAAAAGAGGCTGAGCTGATTAAATTAAACAATGCAAAATGGAGCCTCCTACTGAAAAAGAAAAAAGTTTAAAATTTGGCTTAATGCGTTTTTTTCATCTAGTTTTTATAGTTTCATTTGCCAAGCACATTATGTATTTTTAAAGACAACATGAAACTGCAATCATCCTTGGGAACAGGTAGTGTACAATGCGTTTTATTCCTTATATTTTAAACACTGTGAGTTAATATATTTCAAATGCTGGTTTTGTGTTCCCTTACCATTTATCCATGACAGGAAAAATTACTTCCCCTAACTGCCATTTATTTTAAGAGAGGATAATTTTATTTTGTTCCACTACACTGAAAAAGATCTCTATATTTCATCTTTTTAGCTTTATTCCCCAAAGTAAAAGTTTTAAAGCTGCTCATTGCATGTGACTATAGCTGCAGCTTTAAGCTCTGTTGGTTGTTACATTTCTGGAATATAGTTACAAAGCATAAATAATTATTTTAAAAAACAAAAGATGAACCTTTTCCTGTTGGTTGTAAGATTTGACTTAGTTTTGTGCACCCGAATAGTGACACTGGGGAAGAGAGAGAGAGAGAGAGGACATTAAGATGTATAAAATTATGTCTCTGCTTTGAGTCATCATAGAAAAACAGTCTTTTTAAAGCACAATAAACATGGCCAGGTTGATGTATTGTTGACCAAATGTAAGCCTGGGAAGCATTAATACATTTGTGTGACATATTAAACACTTTTTAATGTGATTTTTACCCTAGATAACAAATTTATATTATTTCTCAACATTTATTTAGAATTTCAATCACTACAAAGATATATCATCAAGGCTGGCTACATAGAAAGGCTTTAGAAAGGACTCTTCACACAGACACAAATGTTCCCTTTAAAAAGGACATTGTTGACTTAAAATCCAGTTTCTTGGCCAGGCACAGTGACTCACGCCTGTAATCTCAGCACTTGGGAGGCTGAAGTGGGTGGATCACCTGGAGGTCAGGAGTTCAAGACCAGTCTGGCCAACACGGCAAAACCCCATGTCTTCTGAAAACACAAAAATGAGCCAGGTACAGTGGTGGGTGCCTGTAATTCCAGCTACTCAGGAGGCTGAGGCAGGAGAATCGCTCAAACCCAGGAGGCAGAGGTTGCAGTGAGCTGAGATCCCACTACTGCACTCCAGCATGGGTGACAGAGTGAGACTCCGTCTCAAAAACAAATAATTAATTACTTGAATAAAATAAAATATAGTTTCCAAGATCCAAATTTCCTTTACAAAATATATAATATACATGCAAAAACAAAAATAAAATAAAAAATCACAACTTTTTCTAGTATCTATCAAATATACTTGATGTCTTGAAATAATACTGGGATTACGTAGTTTTTACTAACTCACTAATTTGGCATTAATCATGCCCATGATGAGGATACCCTGAACTCAACTTTCTGTGTTAAATAAATACTGTAAGATATTCCTCTCTCTGGGCTGGGAGGCTAGCTTCATTCATTCAATCGTTAATTATCATCTATGTGACACTGATTGTTCCAGCCACAGAGCACACTGAGAGGGGATTCCCGCCTCCTGCTAAAATGAGAATGGGAGAAGCAGTCAGAGAATTGGGTGGTTCCAATAAGGTGGAGTAAATTTACATTAACACCTGTTGGGAGAAACACAACTATTTTTGCGTTATGAAAGCAAGAGAGCCTTCTGAGGCACCACCCTGGGGGAGGCAAAGAGAGTCTAAACCTCGGCATGGCACAGAGTTTGGCACACACTTGTTCCTCCTAGGATGCTGGCCTGCTAAATGAATGACTGGCAAACTGGAAAGACCAAACAAAACACCAAAAATGTGAAAAACAGTCCAATGAGGAAGAAGATCCTGTCCCTCCAAACTGGCAACAATTATGTGTGTAAGGGACAGAAACAATAGACTAAGGGAACAGCAGTGCAGCCTTCCAAACCTGGACTTTCTGCACACATTCTGTAAAGACTTTTAAAAAGTAGAGAGTGAAAAAAAGACGGATGTCTGTAAATTAAACTTTCACTCTGTATTTGCTTTAAGCCCTGATGTACTATGAAAATTTACATATAACTAAATAGCCTGTTGATTTCAAAAGTTAAGCTG